GTCGGACTCATGGCTGCTAATGACACAGAGAGAGCGTGAATGAATCTCATCGAGCATATATCGTGTGGGCTTCTTCATTTTGGTGGAGACATTTGGGCCGGATAGTAAGATATGCTGTGGCCCATTAAGAAATATATCTTGGAGGTTAGTAGGCTCCCCCCTCTTTGCACTTGTATGCCGTCACTAGTTTTTTGGTAGCACTTGACTGGCCACTTATAACACTAAGTTTTTAAAATACGCACTTAAATACTCTTAGTTATACAAACGCCAGAATTTATTCCTGAAAATTCTCGTGTTACACTCAAATGCTAATTTTAAAACCTTTTAACCTTAATCTTCGTTAAATTTACTGTTAAAACTACCTTCTTCTGTTTTAAACCTACACTAATTACATTTGTAGAATCTACAAGACAAGGCTTTAACGCCTCGTTTGGTACGCGGGAATGGACAGACTTGGGAATGGAATGGAAGAAGGAATGGAATGGATTGCATGTGGGAATGGAATGGTCATTCTCATTCTCTTGTTTGGGTGCGTTCGTAGAATGAAGCTAGAATGGAAATCTCATTCTCATTCTCATGTTTGGTATCATTAGTACACAAGTGAGAATGAAATCTCATTTTCTAATAATGCCCTTACAATAACATAGATTTTTAATAAGATAAAAAATAAACATTAATGATAATAACTAAATAATTTTATATACGCATATGTTATATTAATCTAGGTATGTGTTATACTAATGCTCGTGTTATCCATCAGGTGTATGTTTCGTTTATATTTTTTAAACAATACTCGCTATTTCTTAGTCTTAAAAATTAAAGAAAAAAAAGATTATCGTATCTTTCATAGGTCCAAAAAAAAGAATGATATCCACAATCCACAGTTCTAGATATATAAATTAACTTATTTGATAAAGTATCAAAATCACTCAATTCATAATAGCAAAAATCCATAAAACAATACCAACTAAAATAATAAGTTTCGAAATAGCAAAATGATATACTAGCCTAAATTGTCAATCTAAAATTGCCCACTTGCATAGGCCTCACTCAAACATTCTTTATTATTAATATGGATATAATTGAAAAATACCTAACTAGTTTTTGATTCTCACTTGAATGGGAATGACCATTCCTTATCTTCTCACTTGGAATGCTCATTCCCACAAATAGTGAGAATGATCATTCCTAGGGAATGGTCATTCCAACATCTAAAATATTGGTGTGTTTGGTATGAGGGAATGGGAAGTGGGAATTGCATTCCATTCCTCCTCATTCCCGCGTACCAAACGAGGCGTAAAAGAGTAGCCGACTCTATAACAATAAAGTTTTATTACACACGCACCTCATATTTTGACCCTCTTCAATTACCAACTAACCAGAGAGGATCTGGATCCGAACCGCCGATCATCATTTGCTGCGTGATGCAATCTAGAGCACACAAAAATGTTAAAGGCAGGAGAATGTATCCTACGAATAGTTAGTCTTAAGCTGTTCTTAAAATTAACAATGTGTAAAGAAATTTATATTTTGATGCTGTCATATAATTTCCTTGTTTCTGTTGAAAAGGGTGTAGATCAAACTCACCTCCGGCGACGAAGGGCTCCGGCAAGCTCTCGAGCAGGCGAACTCGATTTGGCGATCTCCAGGCGACTTCGAACAGGTGAGTTGAGGAGATCAGACGCAAACTTCGGGCGAACGCAGACCTCGATCTCTGCGTTCGAACCTCCCCCTTTGCTGTGCGTTCGCCCCCCCCTCCAACTCTGCGTTCGTCGACCTCAGCGTTCTTCGTTCGACCTCTGCGTTCGGCTCAGATTTTGGCGTCGAAGCGAACGCTGGCGACAGGCTGTCGCCAGCTCTCCACATCCGCCTATAAAGCCCCCCCTTTGGCCCTAGGGTTTCGTGGCTGATCTTTTTCCCCCTCCTCCGATTTTTCTTCTGGCGGCGACCAAGAACGCAGCTGCGTTCCCATCTCCAGCGCTCAATTGATTTTGAGGGAAGATTAAGAAAAAGATTTAAGGAGAGAGAGGAATATAAAAAGGGGTTTTTATAGTGGGTTATTCATTTGTTCTCAAGTGAAAATTGAAAGGGTTCATACCCTTTGATTATTAACACTGTAGCCGGAACCCCCCCCCTCCCAAATCGCAGCTGCGATTTTGTGATTAATCCCCAGCCTTCAACAGTTTAGTTGAGGGGGATTTAAGAAGAGAGAGAGGGAATTAAAGAGGGGTTTTAATTGTGGGGTTATTTATTCTCAAGTGAGAGAAATTGAAAGGGTTCATACCCTTTGACTATTAACACTGTAGCTACAGTGTTTATTTGAGAAATCTCAGTTTTGAGATCTGCTCCTAAATTGTAATTTCTTGTTTGATTAAATAAGAATTATCTGTGTGGCCTCCGAGGACGTAGCAGTTGCCGAACTTCGTAAATCTTGCTGTACTTTTTCTATACTGCGTTTCTGTTGAATTAGGGTTTAGGTGGTTAAATTCCCACAACTGGTATCAGAGAGTGAAACGATCTAGAGAAAGTCAGATCAAGTGGGAGCCATGGCCCACAGATGAGGCCAAAAATGAGACTTGAGAAATTTGATGGAACAGATTCCGGATCTGGAAAATGCATGATAGAGGATATCTGTATCAGAAAATCTGTATCAACCACTATCGGGGAAGAAGCCAGATTCTATGAAGGAAGAGAGTGGAACCTTCTAGATAGAAAAGCCCTCGGATGTATCAGATTGACGTTGACTCGCAATGTTGCGTTCAACATAGCAAAGGAGAAACCACGGCAGGTCCTTATGGGCCCGCTCTCAATATGTATGAGAAGCCATCAGCCGCGAACAAAGTTCATTTGATGCGGTGGTTATTCAATCTGAAAATGGCGGAAGGCGCGTCAGTAGCACAACACCTCAATGAACTTAATACGGTTACAACCCAATTGAGTTCAGTTGAGATTGAGTTTGATGAAGAAGTTCGGGCGTTGATATTGTTGTCTTCCCTACCAGAGAGTTGGAACGCTACAGTCACAGCTGTGAGTAGCTCGTCGGGAAAGAAAAAGTTGAAGTTCGGCGACGTTCGTGATTTGGTTCTCAGTGAGGAGATCCGACGGCGAGAGACTGGTGAAGCTACAACCTCTTCAGTATTGCATACAGAGTCAAGAGGTAGAAATTCAACCAGAGGAAACGGACGAGGAAAATCAAACTACAGAGGTAGATCAAAGGACAGGAGGTCCAAATCAAGGAATCCAAGCAACAGCTCGAAGGCTATCGAGTGTTGGAATTGTGGAAAGACCGGGCATTACAAGAATCAGTGCAAGAGTGCACAGAAGGAGAAGGAGGCGAAGGCAGAGGTGAATGTCACCTCCACTTCAGGAGGAGACGACGCATTGATATGCTCTTTGGAGAGCAAGGAGGAATCTTGGGTGTTAGATTCAGGAGCGTCGTTCCACGCTACTTCTCAGAAAGAATTCTTCGAGAAGTATACCCCCGGAAAACTTGGATACGTATATCTTGGTGATGATCAACCGTGTGCTATTGTGGGCAAAGGCGTGGTGAAAATTAAGTTGAACGGGTCAGTATGGGAGCTGAAGGATGTCAGGCATATTCCCGACCTGAGAAAGAATTTAATATCCGTAGGCCAGTTGGCTGGCGAAGGTTATACCACGACCTTCCATGGAGATGATTGGAAGATCTCAAAGGGCGCAATGACGATTGCCCGAGGCAAGAAGACTGGTACCCTGTATATGACAGCAGGTGCACGTTGTTTGATCTCAGTTGCAGCAGGCAATGAGACTTCAAAGCTGTGGCACCAGAGACTCGGTCATATGAGTGAAAAGGGGATGAAGATTATGCACACAAAGGGAAAACTCCCAGGACTGCAGTCAGTGGAGATGGATATGTGTGAAGAATGTATACTTGGAAAGCAGAAGAGAGTCAGCTTTCAGACAAGTGGCAGAACCCCCAGGAAGCAGAAGCTAGAGCTCGTTCACTCAGATGTGTGGGGACCAACAACCACCGCGTCCATTGGTGGAAAACACTACTTCGTGACTTTTATCGATGATCACTCTCGGAAAGTGTGGGTCTACTTTCTGAAGCATAAGTCAGAAGTATTTGAGGCTTTCAGGAGATGGAAAGCTATGGTCGAGAATGAGACCGGTCTGAGAATAAAGAAGCTCAGGACCGACAATGGCGGTGAGTATGAAGACACCGGATTCAAGAAGTTCTGCTATGAGCACGGGATCAGAATGGAGAGAACCGTGCCCGGCACGCCTCAGCAAAATGGTGTAGCTGAGCGGATGAACCGAACGTTGACAGAGAGAGCCAGAAGCATTCGAGTACAATCAGGCCTACCGAAGCAGTTCTGGGCAGAAGCGGTCAACACAGCAGCTTACTTGATCAACCGAGGTCCATCGGTTCCATTGGAGCACAGAATACCAGAGGAGGTATGGTGCGGAAAGGAGGTAAAACTCTCACATCTTAAAGTTTTCGGTTGTGTAGCTTACGTGCATATTAGTGATCAAGGCAGGAATAAGCTTGATCCCAAGTCAAAGAAATGCACTTTCATCGGCTATGGTGAAGATGAGTTCGGCTACCGCATTTGGGACAACGAAAACAAGAAGGTGATCCGGAGCAGAGATGTGATATTCAACGAGAAGGTGATGTACAAGGACATGCACAAGACTGACGACTCAGAGAGCGAGTCCACATTTATAGATGCAGATGATGTCCCGAGTAACCTCTCGGAAGAACCCAATGCAGAGGGTCCTCAGCAAGAAGAGCCTGTTGGACAAGATGGTGCGCAGGAGCCCGACGCACCAGCTCCGATATTAAGAAGATCTTCTCGTCCTCCTGTACCCAACAGGAGATACATGAACTATCTGTTGTTGACAGATGGTGGGGAGCCTGAAAGCTTTGATGAAGCTTGTCAGTGTGGAGATGCGAGCAAGTGGGAGCTTGCAATGAAAGATGAGATGAAGTCTCTCATATCAAACCAGACGTGGGAACTAGCTGAGTTGCCCACGGGTAAGAAGGCACTCCACAACAAATGGGTGTACCGGGTGAAAGAGGAGCAGGATGGTTCCAGGAGATATAAAGCCCGATTGGTTGTCAAAGGTTTCCAGCAGAAGGAAGGAATTGACTACACCGATATTTTCGCTCCCGTGGTGAAGCTAAATACTATCAGGACCGTGATGAGTATTGTAGCAATTGAAGATCTTCATCTCGAGCAGTTAGACGTGAAGACGGCGTTTCTTCACGGAGATCTAGAAGAGGAGATATACATGCACCAGCCAGAAGGTTTCTCAGAAGAAAAGAAGAAGAACCTGGTGTGCAGACTCAAGAAGAGCTTGTATGGCCTGAAACAAGCCCCAAGGCAGTGGTACAGAAAGTTTGACGGCTTTATGCACAAGGAAGGTTTCCAGAAGTGCAACGCCGACCACTGTTGCTACTTCAAAAGATATCAGTCCAGCTATATCATCCTACTGCTGTATGTTGATGATATGTTGGTTGCAGGAGCAGATATGAAAGATATCAAGAGTTTGAAGCAGCAGCTGTCAAAGGAGTTTGACATGAAGGACTTGGGTCCAGCGAAGAAGATCCTTGGAATGCAAATCACGAGAGATAAGAAGAGAGGTCTCTTGCAGTTATCTCAGACGGAGTACATCAACCGTGTTTTGCAGAGATTCAACATGGGCGATGCCAAGCCTGTGAGCACACCCTTGGCTAGCCATTTTCGTCTGTCGAAGGATCAGTCTCCTCAGTCAGAAGAAGAGAAAGAGAGTATGGCTAAGGTTCCTTACGCCTCGGCTATCGGAAGTTTGATGTACGCAATGGTCTGTACGAGACCAGACATTGGCCATGCAGTGGGAGTGGTCAGCCGGTTTATGTCGAATCCAGGAAAAGCTCATTGGGAAGCGGTCAAGTGGATTCTGAGATATCTACGAGGCACCACACAGAAGTGTTTGCACTTTGGTAAGGGAGAGGTAGAAGTGCAAGGGTACGTAGATGCAGACTTCGGCGGTGAAGTTGATCACCGAAGAAGCACCACCGGCTATGTATTCACCGTTGGAACTACAGCTGTCAGTTGGATGTCATAGGTACAGAAGATCGTTACCCTATCCACTACAGAAGCTGAGTACGTTGCAGTGACTGAAGCCAGTAAAGAGATGATATGGCTTCAGGGTTTGTTGACAGAGCTGGGATTCAAACAGGAGAAGAATGTTTTGCACAGTGATAGCCAGAGTGCGATACACTTGGCGAAGAATTCAACATTTCATTCTAGAACGAAGCATATTGCGCTTCGGTACCACTTCATCAGATCCCTGTTGGAAGATGACGTGTTGAAACTGGAAAAGATTCCAGGAAGTAAGAATCCAGCAGATATGTTAACAAAGACGGTGACAGTTCAGAAACTGGAGTTGTGCGCAACTTCAGTTGGCCTTCATGCATAGATGATAAAGGCGGAGCACACACAGGAGAGGAGCTTGATGAGATAGCCTGATTGACGGCGGTTTGATCTCCAAGTGGGAGATTGTTGAAAAGGGTGTAGATCAAACTCACATCCGGCGACGAAGGGCTCCGACAAGCTCTCGAGCAGGCGAGCTCGATTTGGCGATCTCCAAGCGACTTCGAACAGGTGAGTTGAGGAGATCAGACGCAAACTTCGGGCGAACGCATACCTCGATCTCTGCGTTCGAACCTCCCCCTTTGCTGTGCGTTCGCCCCCCCTCCAACTCTGCGTTTGTCGACCTCAGCGTTCTTCGTTCGACCTCTGCGTTCGGCTCAGATTTTGGCGTCGAAGCGAACGCTGGCGACAGGCTGTCGCCAGCTCTCCACATCCGCCTATAAAGCCCCCCCTTTGGCCCTAGGGTTTCGTGGCTGATCTTTTTCCCCCTCCTCCGATTTTTCTTCTGGCGGCGACCAAGAACGCAGCAGCGTTCCCATCTCCAGCGCTCAATTGATTTTGAGGGGAGATTAAGAAAAAGATTTAAGGAGAGAGAGGAATATAAAAAGGGGTTTTTATAGTGGGTTATTCATTTGTTCTCAAGTGAAAATTGAAAGGGTTCATACCCTTTGATTATTAACACTGTAGCTACAGTGTTTATCAGAGAAATCTCAGTTTTGAGATACGCTCCTAAATTGTAATTTCTTGTTTAATTAATAAGAAATTATCTGTGTGGCTCCCGAGGACGTAGGCAGTTGCCGAACCTCGTAAATCTTGGTGTACTTTTTCTATACTGCGTTTCTGTTGCATTAGGGGTTTATCATGATTGAACTGATATCAGACGTTCATCGTCAAACTGATATCAAAATTATGACAAAACGCCTTCTCACAGAAAAATTTTTGAAGGCAAAGAATAATGCCCTATGCTTAAGAAAATTTTGTAAAAATTTTGTAAAATCATAACGAGTCAGAAACAGACCCTAGAGATCCTCTTCTACATTGCTCAACAACAAGTCCAAGAGTCCCGTTTCTTGTTTGGTTCAAGTTGCAGCATAATCGTCTTGGAACCTGGTTAAAAACATATCGTCAGACGTGGATGCTATGGAAAAAGTTAAGCATATTTAAGTAAATATAAGGCTTATTTTCACTTTGGTACACCCTAAAGCTTACCCTTTTCTCACCTTGGAACCCCAAAGTATTCTCTTTTAACACTTTGACATCCCAAAGTTTCAATGCTATTTCACCTTGATATCCTCTTCCAGATTTCGTCATTGTTAAATTTATATCATGTGCTTAGCGCTTGATACCCCCCATCCAATGCTATTGGGAACATTTTGATTGTTCGGATCCCTAGCAAGTAGGTTTAATGGACCTAAATGTGATGAAATTGAACAGAAAATCTAACAAGCCCTGGACAGGGGGTATCAAACTGAAATGAACATTGAAACTTTGGGGTATCAAAGTGAAAAAATGGATAAACTTTAAGGTACCACCAAAGTGAAAATAAGCCAAAATATAATACAAGCAATGATGAAGCAAAGACATTGAACTAACCAAATGCCAATTCTCACTCAATGGATTCCCCGAGATCTGGATCTCATCGACATAAGGAAGAGGAGGTGATCGAGGAAAACAGAAGACTTTCCTCTTAAGGTCGTCTGTCCTCTTAGCTCGCTTGTAGGAACTTAGTGTTACATTTCCATCTTTCTTGACATCTTTCAAAAAGAAAAGAATTGGCTTCTTGCAAACAGACCTATAAACATCCCTTGTGTCAAAATCAAACTCATCTCTCTTATTAACTCTGTTCCATGCAACATAAGTTTGCTCTGAGCGCTCCAACTCTCGTGGAAGAACAATATTTGGAAACACTTGCACAACATATCCCAATGAGACCGAGAATGTCAGTTTTTGAATTGCATCATAACAGACAGCACGCTGCAAGAAACTTCTCGGTTCAGTATTCATAGCCTTCGTGAAAAGCTTCAGGCTTTCAAGGGTGCTCAAACCAGGGAACAAAGGATCTACAGCTTCAACATGGTGTATCGAGACGAAAGGAGCTATGGGGTGAGCTGCTAAAAGACCATGAGGATTTCCCCTAATATCCCACTGAGAAAAGAAGAAAACAAGGATGACAATACACACATTAATCGCAAGGGCAGTAATTATGTGTCACAATACAACTATCTTATGCACATATCAATGCCATTGCCAACCTTTAAAAGATAATCTAGTACTAAGAAACTGTCATCATCGCTTATAAGCACTTTTACCATCAAGACTGGGTCGGATACAAAAAAACCAGCATGAACAGACTCATTTTCCAATATAAAGAAACTATATTGTGGTTTCTTTTTACTGAATAGATGGCGCACCAAGAGAAGAATACATGTTTGATCAACGCACTAATCTACAGGCCTTCTTGTATTATATGAACTCAAGGATAAGCAGCGCTTGATGCACCGTTTATCCAACATTCTGATACTAAGACTAAGAGACATGTAAATGCAAAAGAAACCATAAATAAATGCAGCATCTCCATTAATCAGAATACACACCCTAATCGGAAATGACTGAACATAATGTGTCAAGATGCAATTATCCTAGGCACATATCAAAGCTAGTATTTACAAGATAGTCTAATATTAAAAAAACCAACATCATCATTTCGCATAATGGGCTGTTTCGTTATTATATACTTATTGGTCATGACGTTAAAGCTCATCCAACGACATTCTCACACTAATCAAACAAATAAAGGAAACCGTCATCATCATTTCACATAACAGTGTGGTTTGCTATCATGTACCATATGCAATTTAAGCTCCTGAAACAACATTCTGATGCTAAAAATAATGCGAAGGAACCACAAATGCAGACCATAATCTGTCACAATGCAGTTATCCTAGACACATATCAACAATCTAGTACTAAAAAATCATCATCAACATCATTCCATGAGAATTTTACCACCGAAATTGAGTTACAAACAAGGGTAAATAGCAGATAACCCCGTCATATATACGTTCACTAGCATTTATGATTCCTAGCTCAGTCAATTAGCACTTGTGACCCCTCCATGCATGAAAGAGAGTGGGGTTATCTACAAATATTATTCCTCAAAGTATCAGTGCAGCTAATAAAAGAGTTGGGGGGATGATAAGTGTTACCGAATGTATAGACAGGGGATTATCGTCAATGTATCTGATAAACAAAAGAGGGGCACAATCAAACAACATAGCGGGCTACTTCCTTATCACATATAGTATCGGTCACGCAAATTCTGTCTCATCAACCAACATTCCAACACTAAGAAACAACAAATACACAAATCAAACCATAAAAGACACACACATACCTGATGAAACCCAAATTCTCGACTAAGAGGAACCCCCAGCTCCGATATACAAGCATGCAACCGGTCATCGCTCCCATACAACCGCGGGTACCTCTCCAAACACTCTCCTGCCATCCCGCAACGCCTTCCGCCATGCGGTAGCTACGCCACCCCTCCTCCCCCAAACGCCATCGAATGGCTAGAATAAGTGTTCGCCCGAGTGACTCTCCGATGGCCCACCAACCATAACATCTTCCCTCGCAATCAATACTTGCTTAAAACAAAACGAGATTATCCGGGTCCTGCAGGACCGTGATGTCGTCGCCACATCACGAACCAGCGAGGCCCACGGTACCAAGCCCAGAATGACTCCGACACATCCGCGCAATGCGGAGCCCGGAGGGGTGGCGCCGGTGGGCGTTCGTGATACCGGAACCGGATATGTCTCGGGAGACGCAAGAAGAGGGGGGAGTCCCGGCGTGGCATTATCGTAATTTTGGGGAAGTGGTCGTCGCAGCCAGACGTGACGCGCATTGAGTCGGGGCGCCACACGAGGCCGGAGGAAGTGGAGGCGCGGCTGGAAGAAGGTTTGGGCGGAGCGGCGATGCCGAAGACGATGTCGGCGGAGGGAGAGGGAGGGGGAGGGTCGGAGAGGCGCGAGGCTTGGGGAGGGGGAGGGAGGGGAGGAGGGAGGGGGAGGAGAGGGAGAGGGAGGGGAGGAGCGCAGCGAGAAGCACGACGGGAGAGCAGAGGCAGGGAGGAGAGGAGGAGGGAGGCGGCGCTGGTGGGCGGAGGCGGCGGAGCGGCCGGGTGTGGGGTGTGCGGGAGGAGAGGCGGCGGGGGTCTGCGGCGCGGCCTAGGGTTCAGGCCGTTTATGGCGGTTTTAGGATACGGGAGCGGAGATGTGGTGGGCATTGGAGCGCAACATATGCTCATTTGGCGAAGAGCAACAAAGGGCTTGGGGTTTGGACGACGAGTGAAGATTCGGTGAATTTAATTTTAGCGATTTTGTTAAATAGGGTTTTGCGGAGAAAATTAGGGATCTTTCGGGTATTTTGTTGACTTGAGGTTTGATTTTTCGAACTGAAAGAATGGGGAAATGGAGTGAAGACGGACGAAAACTGTTTTTTTTTTTTTTTTTTTTTCGGGAGATCCAAAAAACTGTGTGAAACCGTGGAGACTGATGTGGACCCTTTTTAGGACAAAACCGCTCTCGTTGCGAAAAGTGGCACGTGAAGATTCTACTTTTGGGTTTCTTTTTGTGGAAATTGGTCCCCAAAAAAATCTTCTATAATTTGGACGCCACTCAATCAATGAAATTGGTAGTAGGGTGCTTTAGTATAAGGGATAAAGGCTAATGAGGTGTCACCTTGTATTTAATTTGAAGCTTTGCTACGGGGACCCAGAATATGGGACCAATAGGAGGGACAAGTGAGGCGTCCCCCTCCTATTGGATAATGAGTTGGCCATCATTAATGATGGCCAACTCATTATCCAATAGGAGGAGGACACCTCACTTGTCCCCTCTATTGGTCCCATATTTTGGATCCTTGAGGAATTTTTCTTTAATTTGAGGATTCGCCTTCAAAATTATGTTATGGGCATGTTCGCTTCGGTTCCTAAAATTATAAGAAGAGGAAATTGAGTCAGAAAATACATTTTTCTGCATTTTCCAAACAATTCTAAGAATCGTAATATTGAGTTTGATTGTAAAGAAGAAGAAGAAGAAGGAATTGACAACTTTAAGAAATGGTGGAACCATTCTTTATTAAAATACCTCCCTAAAAAAAACCCCAAATGCCTCTCTTTTAACTTTTTTTTAATTAATTAAACCCCCTCCTTCCAGTTATTTTCAGCGCACGATCCTTAAAAATTGAGGTGGCATGGGGTTTTAGGAATGTGTTTCTATTTTTACTTGAGAGAGCCAAACTAAAGTTTAGAAATCCCATCTAGGCATTTTCCTAATTTTTTTGCTACGTTCTAACTCCTTTCTTTTATCATATTTAGAACCTCTATATAAGGAAAGGGAAGGAAAATGAATGGCGTCATAATTAAATCTCAGCCGTTGATGCATAATGATAGAGGGCTTGAACATCTTTTATGATTAATTCCCTCTTCCTTTTCACATTTGAAGTAAAACTAACATAGAACTGAACGGCAAGTACCCGTGCGATTTGAATGATCTAATAGTCAACCAATGATTTGAGGGATTTTCTCAAATTATGAATGATTTTAAGGGATAAATATCGGGAAAAAAAAAACCTTTTATAAGCTCCTCTGATATTGGTTTTTCAATTCAAAAATAAATCTCCAACACACCTGTGTGTGTGTATAGAAAACCCAACACACCTATATTTTAAATAATTTCCCCCAAACAATGCCAAGTTTCTCTAAGTAGTATTTCAGATTATAGTATATTAGCTTAATCCATAGGTTAACTGATATTTTCCATTTAGCCGTATCCAAATTATAATTTAAAGCAGACACATTGAAATCACCTGATAGTCGTATATAAGGGATAAATGTTTGAAATAAACTTACATATAAGAAAACAGAAATATGAAAAAGAAACAGGGGAAATTTCAATTCCATTTCTATTAAGGGCGTGTTTGTTTGAGGGTGTTTTTTTGGAAAACCCGGTTTTTGGAACAAAAAGCAACATTTTTGTGGTTTAAGAAATCCAAAAACTGCGTTTGTTCCATTTTTTTTTTCAAGAAATGGTTTCCTAAAACCTTGTCAAATAGTGTCTTTTTTTGGAACAGCCAATTCCTGTCTAAAAGCTCGGAAATGGGCTCTTTTTTTGGAAATGAGGGTGCCAACTCAGCTTCTCAGCTTTCTTTGCATGTGCTTTTCCGATTTTTTAGGGGTGAAACAAACTTCAGTTTTGGATACCATTTCCTATTATTTATTTTATCCTTTCATATCAAACAAAAGATTTGGATTCCTTTGATATCCTAAAATTTTTGGAGAATTGGTTTCTTGTGTGGGAATCCATTTCCATAATTTTTTGGAAATGAACCAAACAGCCCCTAAATTGATATCATGTATTTAGCACGTGACACTCCTAGCCTGCTGCTAATGAATCATTTCGTTGTTTGGAGCCTAGTTAACAAAAGTGAAGTTGACCTAAATATAATACAAATTTGATATAACCAGAGTGAGGATATCAAAGTGAAATGAAACTGAAACTTCGGGTGTCAAAGTGTTAAAACGTACATCGGGGGTGTCAATCTGCAAAAGGGGTGAACTTTGAGGGTGCCAAAGTGGAGGGGGAGAAAAGGAAATAAGAACGTTCATAGGAGCCCCCCTCACATTTCTCCCGCCAATTCTCCTTCAAATGCTCCCTCCCTCTTCCTCCCCCAATATCCCCAATCTCAAAAACCTTCATCAAACCCTAATCTCTTTACTTAACCAATGCAAATCAATGACCCAACTCAAACAAATCCACGCCCAAATCCAAACCCTCGGCCTCTCCGACGACAATTTCATCGCCTCCAAGCTCCTCTTCTTCACCGCAATCTCCGACTCCGCACTTTCCTCTTCAACACCATCATCCGCGGCTTCTCAAGATCCAAAACCCCCAATCGCTCAATCACCCTCTACACCGAAATGCTCAAATCCGGAATCTCACCCGATCACTTAACATTCCCGTTTCTCTTAAAGTCTTGCGCCCGTCTCTCTTCGATCCAACTTGGTAGTTTAGTTCATTGTCACGTTGCGAAACTCGGGCTTGTGCCCGATCGATTCGTTATGAACTCTCTTATTCACATGTATGCTTCTTGTGGTGAAATTGTTGATGCACGCAAGGTGTTTGATGAAATTCTGCTCAGAAACTCAGTCTCTTGGAATGCGATGATTGATGGGTATGCAAAGTCCGGGGATTTGGCCTCTGCGAGGGATATGTTTGATCGAATGCCTGAGCGAGATGTGGTCTCGTGGAGCGCGATGATCGATGGGTATGTTAAGGATGGAGATTATAGAGAGGCGCTTGCGCTCTTTGAATCTATGCAAGATTGCCCGTTGAGCCCGAAACCTAATGCCATCACGATGGTGAGTGTTCTATGTGCTTGTGCTCACTTGGGTGCGCTTGATAAAGGGAGGAAGATGCATCAATATTTGAAGGATAACGGTTTGATGCTAAGCCTTCCCTTGATTACCTCTTTGGTTGACATGTATGCTAAATCCGGATCCATTGAAGAAGCTATAAGGGTGTTTCGGTCATTTCCTGCAGAAAAAACCGATGTCCTCATTTGGAATGCGATGATTGATGGTCTTGCAACGCACGGGATGAGCAAAGAGGCTCTCTTGTTGTTTCGTGAGATGGAGGCTATGGCAATCAATCCTGATGAGATTACCTATTTGGGCTTGTTGAGCGCTTGCGCTCACGGGGGATTAGTTGATGATGCATGGATATTCTTTAGATCTCTCGAATATAAAGGATTGACACCACATATAGAGCACTATGCTTGTATGGTTGATGTATTGGGTAGATCAGGGCGAGTTTTGGAGGCATTAGAGTTTGTGAGAAAGATGCCCATGGAGCCAAATGGTTCGATTCTCGGTGCATTGTTGAGTGCTTGTAGGACTTTCGGATGGGTAAAGTCAGGGGAGATTATTGGGAGGAAGCTTATTGAGTTAGAGCCTGAACATGATGGGAGATATGTTGGATTATCAAATGTTTATGCGATTGCGAGGCAGTGGGAAGAAGCAAAGATGATGAGGGAAGTTATGGAGAGGAGAGGGGTTAAGAAGGCTCCAGGGTTTAGTGAGGTTGAGGTGGATGGGGCTCTTCATAGATTCATTGCACATGACAAGTCTCATGTTAAATTTCTGGAGATTTATTCGGCTTTGGGTGTTATAAGAGATCAAATAAAAGCGGAAACTGATGTGAGTTCTCAAGAAATATGCTTTGTATAGTTACTCTCGAAGGGTCGTGCCATTGCACCAAAAGTCTAACGCTACGGTGAGATTTGAGGATTATATTTTTATATTCTAACATATGCTGCCACTCCCCCGTTCCCTGGTGGATTCACACATCAATAGCTTTTTTCCTCTTACACCCGCTTTAAATCAGCGGCCAGCGTGAATTGAACTTAGATTGTGCTCATATCATGTTACTCTGCCACTGCACAAAAACTCTTGAGCTTTGGTGGATTGGCAGAAATCTGTGATAGTTACAACGGAGGATATGACCAGATACTTCATGAATGGTTTAAATTACATCAGCCCATTCCCAGGTTTCATTATGCTGAAAGGCTGCACTCCTAGATATTACATAACACTTCCAACGTTAACAGAGCGAAAAACACGAAAAATCACTGTTGTACTGGCGAGCACTGTTGAGTATAGAAGTACACTTTCGGCAGAGTTTCTGAGGATGGAAGTATCTGATAACACTTGGTAAATGTCAGGGGTGTTGAAGGCTACAAACAAGAGGGAGAACACTGCAGCATTGGCTGAGATTAAGCGACAGAGATGGAGAGAGTCGAATGATGGTAATCTATGGCGATTCTTCAATATATGGGAACTCGAGTATTTTTTGTATGGTTGCAAATAGAAAGACGAAGATGATGTCAAGAGACGAATGCATATGAAGTTTGAGGGGTTTGTTGTTGTGTAATAAGAATTGGGTCTTGAGTTAGTTGAGGTGTTTTTGGATGTGGTGTGTTTAGATGAATGGCAGCTTCAAAGCTCCAGGCTTTTGAGGGCTTGGCATCTATCTCGCTTAGCATTTTGAGATATTCTGAAAAGATAAGCTACGCTAGATAACTGTGGTTAGCATTAATTAGTATAATCTCTTTTCAAAGTAATAGCATGATTATAATATGCAATAGCTGACTGAAAAAAGGAAAAGCAGAAGACAATCACTAAATACAGCATAAATCTCACTGCAGTGCTACATGAACTTCAAGATTTAGCTCAGCAACTCAGAATTTTTAGACAGCGGTGCACGCTGGTATACTGAAATTCAAACTGGAAATAAGTATACACATAAATGAACAGAGGAAAATTATCACACTAAAGAGAACAAAAACTATATTAACCTTAACAACTGAAGAGACTTGTTCTTACCAAAAAAGAATTAAAAAAATAGACTCATCTTTCCTTAGGACATCAATTGTTTCTTTTTTATTCGGAAGATATCAATCTTGGATGCAGGAAGAAATCTAGCTGCTGTCAGCAGAGCAAGCAATAAACATTACTCGGCTGGTAACTGGAGCAACTCCCTGATACCTTCGCAAACCTGGAAATTTTTTTGTTCATGTAATTGTTGATAAGAAACATGAGCGCTTACAATTAATATAAGCCAATTATAATAACTATACTGTAGATAACAAAGAAGTGAAAGCTGAAACAGGACCCTGAACTCACAACGAAGTCAAGAAGAAACTTTATATGATTAGTCTCTTTCTATTAGTGAAAACTATTTAATATTATTTTGTTTTACAAGAATAACCTCCAACGTTTTGCTATCTGTAGTTTACTGCAGAATTTCAACAAACAAGTTCCAAAGGATTATAGATCATAGATAATATTTTTGTCTCCATCCTTGACTTGCAATGAATATGCTACCAACAAACTCATAGGAGAAACTTCGGGCTGCAGCATTCTTAGCCTTTGCTTTAGCTGTTCAGCATCCTTTTACATCTATATAGACCTATATCAGTTGGATATCTTGCAAATAACACCATTATCTAAGGAAATTATATTCTAGAAGCCTAAAATCAGGCTCGGATTCACCAAAGATTTACTTAGAATAACTAATTCCTTGTCCGCTAATATAAAGATGGAATGACTTTGTAAAGTCTATCGTATTTATTTCCCATTCATCAGTGATATTTGGGTTGCAACTGGATAAATGGACCTTGAGACCATCTCGCACATCAAAAGCTAAACACCAATCCCAATTTAATACCTTAGATATTATTGATTTATCCATCTTTATATTAATTTTCCTCTTTGGCTCTTGAGACTTATTTTCCAAACAGTACATTGTCCACAATTTATCCAACATGACCATACAACATTAAGCATTTAACGGTTTTTTTATGTGCTCAGCTTCAGATTCCAATAAATTGTAAATAAATTTTCGTACATGTCCTTCTGAGCTTTATTAACTCAACGAGGAGCTTTTTCTTTCTTTTGAAAATTTTAACGAAACTTCAACATTGTGGAAATCAAATACAAGGAGATTGTAGCTAATAAAGATATCAGATAATTAAGGATGTCTTGCACATACAATCAAATCCATGTGTAGATTTCACAGGCTCAATAGTGGAGACAGCAAGCTTTTGCATATATACAAGATGTTATATGTTAATATGTTATGATAAATTGCTAGTAAAGCTAGTAGTAAGCAATATATAAAAGTATTTGCACTTACCAGTTTGATTTGTGCTTTGATTTGTGCAATAAGGTGGGTGTACTCCTCAATTTGTCTGCCAAATATTACAAGCAGTGCTGTTACAAAAATACTTGAAAACTACTTGATTAAAGTGAGTAAAAAACAGACAAGTTCATATGTAATAATGCACCTTGATATAGCGTAGTCTATGATCCTAAGAAATATTATAGAGGTGCTCTCACTTAAAGAAACAAGATGAACAAGGAAGCTGGAGAATACCTTGAGAGCCTAGCTTCCCTTAGAGAGATAAATTCCAGTGCCTCTGACCAAGTAAATTCCAAATGAAAGCCCAACCCCACGTCCACAAATATGTGCCGTGTATCAGGGCTGCAAAATATAGATAAATGGTACTAAGGAAAAGCAATATACAAAAGTTTAAAAAAAGCTGGGTTAATCGCGGATAGACACCCTTATACTATCACCCAATAGCGGATAGACCCCATTTAGTTCAATTGTCACAGATATACCCCTAAGTGAAATCTTTGTCTCGTTTGCCCTCAGAGAAAGTGAAATTTACTTTTTGACAAATAGACTTCCTGAGGATAAAAGAGTTTTAAAAAAAAGTTCACTCAAGAGGTCATAGAGCTAGATGGGATCTTTTTTGCAAGTGGGTGATGATATAGGAGGTCTATCCACAATTAACCCTAAAAGTATATGTTAAAATTTGGCATAATGAATACTAGTATTTGAGTGCATGCGGTCTTTGGTTGATCACAAATACTTTCTTAAGGGGGCGGATGATAGATATCTATTAACCTATAAATAAGAATATAGTATTACAAAACTATAGTACCTGGTGGAAATGTACTTAGTACACTTTCCCAGCTTCATTGCACCATATTTTTGAGCATTTGGCATCTCCAAAATGAAACCAGGCCAGAACTGGTTTTCCCTTAACCCTGCCAGAATTGTTCCAACTAGGGGCTGGTCAAAAACAAAACTAGGTTAAGGGCAAAAAATTACACTAGAAAAAACTAGTTCAGTTCTAGTCCAACTTTTGCCAAACTAAAAAGTTATTTCTGGGCCAAGTTTGTACCGACTAAAACCAGCCTAGTTTAGTTTTGGACTAGCTACACTTACCTAAATTAGAATAAACTAGTTTCTATGTGAATTAGTTCCAAGTTGAACCCAGCTTGGCTACTTTTTTTAAAAAAATTGATTTAGCTAGTTTTCACCTTTCTTTTTCATTTCCCAATGTTTTTTTAGGCCCAAAGCAAACTAGTTCTATTTCAAACAAAGGGGGACTTGGTTTGAAATAGAGCTAGTTATCATACAAAATTGGGCCAAACAAAAGCTAGTTTTGCCCAACTTTTTTACTTGCTAAACTACGGCTAGACTATTTGGCCAAACTTATAACCACTAGAACTAGATCTTTGAGTTGCCAAACACACCCTTTAGTGTTTTGGTCCATTTAACCTAATTTGAAATTTAAATGAGCTACTAAATTCAAATGGGCTTGAGCTACTCATGTCCTTAGTGCTTATATGAAGATTGGGTTGCAAATTTTGTGGAATGACGAGGAGCAAATTATAATTATTAGAAGGTTGTCATGCTAATTTGAAATTGTTAGGGAATTTGGTGATTTTTCAAAGCACAAGGGCATTTCCTTTCTTTCCAAATATGAGAGCATTATCGGATTTTGAAAATGAGGCTCACGAAGACCAAAGGTGGGGGCTTCTTTTAAATAACAGAATATATTACTGAAACCCAAGCATGAAAAAACTTGAAATATAGCTAAAATTAGACTTGTAGGCGGTCAAAAATGCTTCTCCTGAGAAGTAATAAAAATGAGCATTTCATTGAATTCTTCCAGTGGGAACTTACACATCAGCTTGTATATACACTTCGGAACCGAGATTGAGAAATAGAAAGTTCTTTTTGTTGGTGGGACAAATACAACTATTGAGGCTAAAAGGGTCAAAAAAGACGTTCACTTAGGGGATCTATCTGCAATAATAAAACTACAACCAGTCTATCCGCAATTATTCCTTAAAAAATATATGTCAAAACTTTGTCCTAACAACACTGTGCATATGAGAAGCAAAACCAATTGCTTCTGAATAATGAATACTAGTGCATGACAAAGAACCTGGGGGCGCGTCAATAGTCATAAACTGCCAAGGGAACAAACAGTTTTCTTCCCAGGATTTTTCCAAGTTTGAGCTCATTTCATTGATTTTTCCAAACTGCTCGTGCATTTCCCTTTTTTTCCCAAATACGAGAGCATTTTCGGAATTATGAAAATTTGCAATTGAGGTAAACAATAAAATAAGCAGCATCGCAGACTCACACATCAGCTTGCGTATACACCTCGGATCCGAGATTGACCATCGTCCTCAGAGAGCTCACTCCATTCTTCTGCAGATTCTCGATGTTTCTCTTCAGGTCCGAGCTTAGCATACTTATCAAGGAAACAAAAGCAAGCAAAATAAATAAATAAATAAATAAAAAATTATAAAATTTGAAAGGATACAACACTTTCTGCTGCTCGAATACCTTGTCCCTGCGAATCAAAGAGAAGAATCAGAAGTAAGCTTAGAGAGAGAGAGAGAGAGAAGGAAGAGATTGATACCTTTGAGCTATGGCGTTGACGAGATCGGGCTTCAAGCGGCGGTCGACGAACTCCTCAAATCTCTGAACCTTTTCTTGCTTCAAACGATCTTCCTCCATTTTCTCAATAGCAAAAGATTTTTTTTTGGGGGGGAAGCTTATTAGGGTTTTCTGCCCATTCGCGGGGAGTTCGTCGTTCGCGGGTTAGGGTTTCCGCAGGCTACGCGGGTCGGGTTTCCTGGGATTCGGTAAGGGTAGTGGAGAGGGTATCCATCAGGGAAAATGTTAAAAGTTGGGTTTCGGGTCTGAATCCGAACCGCAAAGCGATGGGTTTACTTAAAGAATCTTGTATCTACAACCGTGTCCGGAAATTTTAGCAATACACTTACTCTAATCCTTATCAGATCCGAAATTTAAATTTGCATTCATATCATTAAATGTGTCCAGCGGGAAGTTTTCAATATGACTTCCACGGTTTTGAGTTCGATTCCGGATTAGGTTGTGAATATTCTTATCTCCTGTTTTACATGAAGTGTTGGAGGTTTTTTTTTTTGATCATCTTTTTTTTTTTCTTCTTTTCTCCGGTGGGAAGCCAGACTTTTTGAATCCAAAACCTTGTTTCATATTAGTTTAAAGTTCATATTTATTGGATAAGGACACCAGACAATGTTAACATAGCCAACATCACCCATATCGATCAATGTTGTTGGCTCTTTGTAGAAGCATCATTCTCATCTTTATTTTTCATCTAAGCACATAAGATATCCACTCAGATTTAATTCGTCAAATGAAATGCAAACCAGTGCAGTTCTTATAATCAAAACACTCCAGATGGTTGAGAGGTTCTAACATGACTCATATGACCGTGGGTTCGATGCCCGGTGACATCGCCACGCGAGGCGGTCTGACCGCCTTCTTCAAACATCTGCAGTTCAAAATGCCACGCAAAATGGAAGAGCAAGAATAGCAGCAACCTTTCAAGTAAATAAACTTGTAACGTTAAACTCTACTCTGTCGCCTGCACCTACATGATATGCGTGCTTTTACGTAATTTCTCATGAATTCAAGTTTATCTCCCACACATTTTTTGAAAACTGAAAAAAAAAAAATTGCACACAGTTCCAAAGATAGCTTCCATGAGTGCCCTAACTCATACAGCGACCTTCATCTTTTGGTTAGTAAGAAACAAATTTTATAAAAATCACAAATTTACGTAAATGATAAGGCATAGACAGAAGACTTAACATAAGAGCAGCTTCTTAATATAGATTCAGATTTCAGTATACGCCTTTATTTACAAACCATTATCAAACTATCAGAGCGCAATGCTTGTCAAGCTCGAGGATCTCAGATACAATGAACTGATAAGAAACACAGGAACAGCTCCAGAA